TTTTGGTTTTATTTAAAATGTTCATATTCAATAGTCTCTGAGCAGTAAAGAGCTACAGTGGATTTTCACTGAAGGTCTCTCATTAAATCACAGAAAAGCTTTCTGAAGCCCCAAGTCAAAAAGCTTAAATGTTTAGGATGATTCCAAAAAAATCCTGATGGCCTTCAAGTTTATTTGAAAGAAGGATTACAGAATATTATGTAAGGCACAAATATCAGAACTATTCCCCATTGTATTTACAACTATTACAGAATTTTACAAGATCATGAATTTTCATAAAAACCGACATTTTCAAAAAGCTTCTCTTGCTTTAATCCTCCTCTTTTCTTTTGATAGGATTAAATGCTGAAATGGCAGGCAGTTAAATAAGCAGACTGAAATGCCAACTGTGAGGCATTTAACTCCATGTATTTACCAATTAATGTTTCACAGTTGCTTTAAGTTTTGACATTATAGTTTAGTATCTTCAGGCAAATAATTTCAGAAGGTGCTGGATTTGATCTACATTGTTTCTCATTTTATATTCATATGTTATGGCCCTGGAATACCATTAAGTTACCCTTAAGCCCTCATAGACAAAATTTAGGTTTATGAAAGGCCAAGAAATATTGCTTTGTTTTTATAAACAGGTACTAACCAACCTTCCCACAACAATTTCAAAGCTGCCATTAAATTTACTAATAAAAAGCCATATCCATCAAGATAATCTCACCAAAAGAACTGGAGTGCATGGCCTGTGTATGTTTGCATACTCATACACAAATTCAGAGTGCAATATTGAAAGACAGTGTCACTGGTTTTCCCCTTTAGTTACTCCAGTACTGACCACAATGTTCAGAATGAACTAGAAAAAGCATCAAGTAGAATTCCTAAAAAGAGTCGTGGTGGGACACTTGTCTTAATTCTGTAATTCTTTAATGCTTGCCATTATTAGGTTACTTCACAGGATATTTGTGTGCTCCTGAGGCAACTGCTGCAAAACTAAATCCTACAGGGCTGCTAGATGTGGTGTTTCAGGCGGACGTTTTTACTTTGCAGGAAAGGAAATGCAGTTTCTGCATGGATAAAGTTAGCAAGGAGTTTCCAAAAAAAAATTTAAAAAACCCAAAAGACAAAAATACACCACCACCAAAAAAAGCCCTAACACTTACTACCTTTGGGAATATGAAATTGGCTATTACTACAGGTACCACTTGTAGTAAACATAATATTTATTTTTATGTCCAATATACCACAACTTTCAAGCAAGGCAGATTTTTTTCCCCTTTTATTCATATAGCAACTTCATTTTCTGCTGAAAAATTGCATTATTGTTTCACAACACTGTACATAAAGCATCAGCACAGGTAAAGTCAGGAGCAAGATTCTCACCAAATTAAATAAGGTGAGTGGTCCACTCACAACAGATCAGCTTCAAAGAAAAACAGAACAATTTTTTGGTAGAAACTGCTAACTGGCAGTTCAGTGGTCATAAACATTAACATTTATAACACAGCCTCCATTTAATATCTACAAACATGTATCTAATTATTTAGACATACTTCATTATTTATCCATAGAACACTTGTCTAGTAATCCTAACTGCTAATGCTAATTACTACATCCTATCCATACCTAATTAAGTTTTACATAGCAATGCAGTGATTAATGGTAATTCCAACAGCATGTACTACTAATTAAGGTATTTGTGTTTAATTGTGTCAAATAGGAATGTGCTAGACTACCTCTCTGAAGTCTTAATGGTATTTCAGATTTATTTGACAAACAGAAGTCTGAGACACTGTTGTATTGTAACAGACACTTCAATAATCCTCGATATGTTCAATAACACAGCACCTTTCTTCAAAACCAATTTTGACACTTGCTAATATTCTGTAAGTAATGGGATCAGATTAAAGCCTCATCAAAATTCATTATGAAGTATTAAACCTGTCTAATCTTTTATTACTGCTACTAACATAATAAAAGGAATGAAAACACTGGGAAGTGTAGAAAGTTATGAGAAGTTTCCTCAGGAGCATTGTAGAACATGGTCTGAACCAGAGGATGTACCATCATGCTTCCGTAGGACTCTTACAGATTAGACTACTTTAAACTAGAACATATATTTCTACTTTTCAACTTAAGTGTGAAATTTCTTCTCCCCAGTTTCTGAAGTTGTTATTCATTCTAACATCATCTTCTCAAATAATTATTGCACATGCAAGCATTAAAAGAAGGATTTAATATTAGAAAGATAATAAGTGTTGCAATCAGCTGTCTTGTGGTTAACATTGCATTAGAGCTAAAAGTCACAATTAAGGATATAAGTAAACTTTTTGCTTGGAAAATAACACAGGTTTTTTTCTTTATAACTTCCTATTTAACTAGTCACACAGTTACAGTTTCTGAGGCAAACAACTTAAGTCCCAGTGTTAAGTGTGTTAGCAACAATTCTCATTTTGTTGAGGATCTTTGGCAATACTCTTGCCACACAGTGAGGTATCCTAACATTTTGCAACTTATTTAACCTGATTTACTAAGGAAAACAGACTTCTCCAATTTCATTCCACCTGTTGAGAACCAATAAAATAGTTCTGCAAGGTGATAACTTTGAATTTCCATATTCTACCATGACAAGATTTTCAAAAGCAGGATTCTTAAAAATTAGGCTGATTATCTCATGGCCTAAAGCTCAAGGTGGGTGAGCACAGCAAATTCTTCATATCGACAGCAGAGCTAGAGATGCAGCAACTCAGATCAAAGAGTCCCTGCTCGCTGGCAGGCAGCGTTTGAATGATGTTTAATGAAGGAATGAATGCAACATGGATGCACAGAAAACCTTCCTGTACATTGCAGGTCATATGTAAAAAAGCTTAAGAAATTTTGAAGACCTGTCATTTTATTTTAGACGCTGAAACAGAGGATAAGTTCTTGGGAGTCTCATTCTGAGTACTTTTCTGTAGTTTCAAAAAAGAAACCACTCAAAAAAAGAGCCATTCCAGCTTCCATCAGCTTACTCCTACTGCCATCTGCTGTCACAACCACCTCGGTGCCACGCAGTCTGCAGATGTTTCTTTACTCTTTCTTCTGTGCTGAAGTGTAAAAGAATATATTCCCATATTGCTACGCAAAATTATCTAAAAAAAGTAACTTTTTTGTGGGCTTTGTTTCTTCGTTTGTGGTTTGTTTGATTTTATTTTTTTTTGTTGTTTTAGTTTGATTTGGTTTTTAACTGGCAGTATTGCTTGTTTATTTCAAATTTTGAAATATTTATTATCATTAGGCAAGTGGTAAGGCTATCAACTGTCCAGACTTCTGAGGCTGAACTGCTCCTACCTTATCCTTATGTGATCATGCAAAGAGGCTTAAACCTTTGGATTAAAACAAACTAGAAAAAATTAAAGAAAATTAAAAACTGCCGCATAAAACAGATTGAACAAAAAGGTCTGAACATTAATTATTCAGATCTACCTCCTGCCTAGTGCTTCCATGAAGTCTAGCAACGTCTAGAGTTAAGCAAACTCAGTAATTACTCTCAGGACCACCAGACTGCTTTATGTCCCCACCGTTGGTGGTGCTTCAGGAGCTTCAAGTAGCTGAAGGGGCTGCTATTCCCACCCTTCTTTCTCTTTTCCCCCAGCACTGGAACCACCATGCAGCAGGCCACCTCGGGGAGCTGACACAGCCAGCACACACTCACAAAAACACCACTTGCTTCCCTGCCGCTCAGAGAGCTAATTGCCCCCAGTGCTATGGGTTCCTAAAAGAGCCATAGGTGAACCTCTACCCTTCTTCAAGTCTTACATTTAATTAAGAAGCTGCTAAGATGACAAAAAAAGGCTGTCTGTTGCTGAGCCACACGTTCCTTTTGGCAAAACATAGTGAGCTGAAACAAGTATCATAATGTTTGTCACAAGGAATTTCAAAACATGCAAAATGGACTTTTAATTGCAGAAACCGAATGAGGTGCTGAAATTCTGGGCTATTGCGGCTCCAGTGGTAAAAAGGATTCTACAACCCCAGTCAGAGGCTGAAATTAGTTGCACTCAGACCACAGAGGGTAAAATGCAGGACACTGATTTTTGTTCCAATGATTTCTTTGTATGAAACCAATTGTTAACATGGTCTTTTTAAAGCTTCTGGGTCTGTTTGTGATGTTTTACAAAAAGCACATTACGTATTGCTCAGCATAAGCCCAGTTCAATTTGGTGACTACCACAATACCACTCTAATGTAAAACAGAAAGCCTCCCTCATACATTCCACCTTGTTTGAAGAAAAGGAAGGTAACTCTTGTCCTCAAACACATACTTTAAAAGTATATAATATATAATATTATATATATTATATATATTATATAATATTATATAATATTATATAGTATATAGTTATATATTTATAGGATGTATGCTGCTAAACTCATCAAATATTATAATTACTAAAAGATGAAGTGACAATACCACCAATACTACTACTCTCAGCATTTGCAGACACTTGTAAAAGTATTTTTCTTTAGCACACAGGGCAAGATTCATATGCATTTAAAAAGCTGGAGACCTATGGCAATTTTCACAAAATGCAGGAGAAAGGGAAGAAGGCAGTCACAAGGGCTGCTCTCTGATGACACTTATCTTCACCACTCCCAGCAGAAGCGAACACAGTACCAGCCAGTGAAAGACCTGGGAACCTTACTCGCAGTTTTCTAAACATTGCCCCACCTGAATATAACAGGACTATAACAACATGTATTTTAAACTATTTGTTTTTATGTAGATGGATAGTTGACTATATATTCAAACCAGGTACATTTTCAAGCTCAGCTGTGATAACTGAACATGTTACCCATGTCAATTTGGCAGTGAAATACTTTGGATTAAAGAATAACTTGTCCGTTATATTTTGGGTTGTATTTTCTCCTGTTATATTAGCCATTTGATTTTCCAAAGACACAATCTTTTTAGACAATGTATTAAGAGCATAAGACATACTGCAATATGCAAAGATTATATCCTTTTTTACCGTTTTAATAGCACTTCTTGATTTTTCTTCCCAAACATCAGTGCTCAGCTCCATTGTGCAATGAACATTTGCTTCTGTATCATAGGATCCAAAAATTAATAACCTGAAATAGAAAAGTCTATAGTAAGCATTGTAGTACTATTACACAAATCCCAGATATCACATTAAATTCACCACTCCTCATTTATACACTATTATTATCAAGTGTACAGCAAAAAAAGATTCCACACATACAGCTTTACACTAAAGGAAAGACACTGCCACCCTCTAGTGGAAGAACTGCATAAATATCAAATATCACTTAAAATTTTTAGCTAGGGTTTATTTTGTTCGTTGCTTTATTTATTTATTTTTCTATTGCAATTCCCTTTCTCTTTTTTATTTTTAATAAAGTGTTCAATCAGTAGACTAGTAAGTTTCCATATCAGAATAACTTTTCGTGGGTTTTTTTTAAAGCAACAATAGCCACAAGTGTCTTTCATTCTAACCTTTAAGCTTCACAATACAGTGGAGCACTTCTTGCGTCAAGAGTTACTGTTGATTAAAGTCACAGTTTACTACTACTACTTATGTTTCCATTTCTCTAAACTTTTTGTAACATTCATACCAAACAAAAGAGTGACTGTTCATGCATGATACCCTATTCCAGAAGAAAATAAAGCTATTCAGGTAGATACCAGTACTCTAAAAGAAAAAATAAACCAACAACCCACATTAACCTTTAGGCTACAGAACAGCAATAAAGTTGCACACAGCTTATCCCACAGTAGCTGGAGGCAGATAAATATTTTTGAATAAGAACTTGAAAGGACAAATATTTATTTTCAGAAGAGCTATTAAATTTTAATTTCTCTCCCCAAAACTTTGCATATACATTTGACAAGGACACTTTCTAAGCTTTCATCCAAGTATTTTGCTTGTGATTCTGATGTGTTACACAACTCTTCATATGATAGACAACAGCTGTCAGAAAAATATGTCAATTTTCTCTTTATCCTTCAATAATGTCTCTAGGTTAAATATTTATAAACAAAAACTGCCTTGTTTTCCACTTGTGGAAATATGTAGTAAACATACTTTGAAAATTAAGTAAAGCTTTTGAAAACAACTTTCACCCACAATTAGAATTGGTAAAATTAAGCCAATCTCAAGGGAAAACACCTCTCCAGCTATGACAGCTCTCTAGCTTGCATTGCAGCACAGATACTTCTTCTCTATGCTGCTCCATGAAGAATTTGTTTAACTGTTTTTTAGCTGAGTACATGAATGCATAGGGGTGATGACAGGGGAAGGTCACATTTGGGTTGGTCCCCAGCACATCTGCTTCATAAAGTGGATGGAACTGTCTTTGGTTCTGAGTTAGTGGCTGTATCCTGTAACCTCACCTTCAGCTGGGAAGTTTCCATGCTCCAGTGACACACTGCAAACAGCAGCTGTCAACCTCATTTCCAGCCTGACCTTCAGCACTCATTTGTCTAGACACTATTGATTTGATTACTGTAAGCAGAAATCCAGCCTCTGAACCACCTGATTAGGTACTTTGTCTGGACAAGACCAAGTTTGTTCAAGGTTACTTGAACTGATGAACTCGCACCTTCTTGCTTAAGTCATCCCCAGCAACCAGCAAGTCAATCCCCAGCAACTGTGGCTTTTCTGTTCTGCTTTTTAATAGCTTCTATTGAGCAAAGGTTTTCCTCAGTGTCTCACTGATACCAGACAGTTCATTAAAGCTTTTCCAACTGCTGATCATTGGGTGCAAGTGTTTCATCTTCTGGTCACCTAGAGACACACTGAGAATTTTCCAGGGGCACTTATCATACCTCCAAGATACCAGCACAGAGGCTGTTTAGCTATCATACACTCGTGGCCACTAAGAGAGAGAACATGGACAGGAGGTAGCTTAAAAGAGGAATAAAACATCATTTTCAACCAGCACCATAACATAAAAGTCACAAGGAATATAATGACCCACAATGAGATTTCACCTGAAACCAGGTTACCAACACCTAACCTGAAGAAATGTAACACAAGATAACAAAACTATATACATTTGAACTCCTAACCACACTAAGGAAATTTTTGTTTGAATAATACCTCCATTAGCATGCAAACAGAGGTACCATCTTGTATACAACAGCTGCAGATAAACCCTGACATTAAGATTGTCACAACACAACCGAAACAACTGGATATTAAGGAGATATCTATGTCCTGCAGATTGGAAGTTTGTAAGCCAGTATGAAAGGATTTATGAAAACACACTTTACAACCCCAGCTATAATTATAACAAAGAAATGTGATAAAATTACCACTTCAGTAATTAAAATAAATACAGAAAGTTTATTTTTGTTCCTTCCCCAACTGTAAATTGCATGCTTGCCTGCATAAAGCAAGCGTGAGATAGAAGAGAGTAATTCAACAGAGTAGTTGTGGATATGAAAACAGTTATTTGTAGCTGTTTTGCTTCCCAATCTGAGAGCTATGAGGACTCCAAGACAGGAAGTGTTTGTCCTCTGATGAAGAACAAGAAGCACTTAGTGGCTGTGGTCACCTCAACTCTTCAGCAGAGCCAAATCAAGAATTTCAGCAAGTCTTTATTCATCTTCCTTTCCAGAGACTTTAACAAAGCTACCACATTTCCTGCTTTTTATAGGATGATGTTAAAGTACTGATATGCAAATCTAACAAGAAGCTGGTATGGGCAAGCAAAGCACACAACAACCTTCAGTAACACATCATTTATTACGAGGTATGTCAAAGCAAGTTGAAGAATTTATTCCTTTTACAATCCTTCCCTGATTATTTTTTTTTTTTTTCAACAGTGGTCTTTCTATTTGCAAGCATTTTAGGAGCTGAAATAGGCTGAATCTTTCCCAAATTTTAAGAATGTCAAAGGCAGATTTAATATTCACATAGTTAAAGGCACCACTGCTGCACACTTAAGTCTACTTGAAGACAAAAGTATAAAAAAACAAAGTTTCATGTGTGCTCTGTGGGATTTAACTTAATAATAATTATTTCAGAAGAATTTTGTGAACAAAGGTTATTTAGTGAAACAAATGTTAATTTTGAAAAGTCACTTTATGGCATAGTTTTGGAAGAATATTCACTCCTAATTTCATCAGAGTTTATAGGCTTTAAGACTTTCTTCACAGTGTACCTTTTAAAAAAAACTAATATAGCAAAATTGAACAGCATGCTGCTTTGGTTTTCCCTTTTCCTTAAAAATTTAAGGTAGTGACAGATAACAGCATTTTTTCAACAACTGAGTTCTGTGAGAGCACTGCACTTCTACAACAGGTCAAATAAAAGAGTTGCAAAACATATTCCTTGTTATTTACCACAGATTTCCTATCCCTTCATTAATTTAATTTTTTGTTATGTGCCAATTTGAGTTTTTCTTTCAAGAGCATGACAGCAAGGAAAGTAATATGGTCAAGCCTGCAATTAGAAAACAAACAAGTGTAAAAAGTGGAAGTATTTGGTCATGTGAAGAATATAAAGAAATTAAACTAGATATTTATAACATACAAAAAGGTTGCTAAATGTTTTATCACTATACTTTCACCACTGTATTTCAGATTTAAGCAGGAAAAGTAGAACCCTGTTACCAGACTAGATGGAATACAATGTCAGCAGTCAAGAATCCTACTCCAAATTTTGTACAGAAGTAAAATAATAGCTGCTGTACTGAGAGAGAATATAAAAAGCTTTTGGGACACTGAACAAAACTGAAAAACACATAGAAATTTAAGTTATCTTTCATTTCTGGAATGAGGATGATCACCAAGGCTAATTTTCAGGTCCCTATGGCAGACCTGAGTGACAAAGCTCTGTATTTCAGCCTCAAGTGCTGCTTTTTTTTTTGCAGTGCAGTGATGAAAAACTGTACATTTCTTCTTTTGCTACCAAAATCCTCTTTCAGCTTTTACCTCATCAGTATCTTTAGGTGCAAAGTAAGCAAGGATACTTACTTACAAGGGAACTTTATGGATGTAAGTTCTAGTTGTTTCATTAAAAAAAAGGATGGGACACATGAAAGATCTGAGGAATTACTACGGCACCAAGATTAAACGCTCCGATTGAGAGGTGCCTGTTGGATATAACTTTCCAGTGTGTGTCCAGAAATTCCAAGCTGCAAAGAACAGTGAGATTAAGTCAGACTTGCAGCTTAAAAGACCTGACAAACCAGCAATTGCATCCTCTCCCAGCCATCTGATAAGCATCTGGGACAATCCTGAGAGGTCAGATGGTGATGTCAAACTGAGTAATCTGGCTTCTAAATGTAACGGAAAGAAACACAACACTGGTTGTGCTACACAGTGTTTCAGATTCAGGAAAGACATAGTATTTAAAGTATTACTTTCCAAAGCAAGAACAACTGCAGATAACTTAAGGGAGCTGTTTTGGGCCCTCTTACAATACAAATTAAGGCACTACTGGACAGAAACTGTAGACTGCCTATAAGAAGAAGATCATGAGTTCCCCTACTCTGAACAGGTAAAGAGGAAACACTCCTAGCAACCAAGGAGCGAAGAGTCCTTCAGTATTTTTGGATCACTCACAGAAAACATCACAAAATTAGGGACACGGGTAAGCAGCAATTTTATTACAAAAATAATCACTGCTGTGGCCCACACAATGCCTAGAAACAAGGGTATCTTCTGGATCCATGGCACTGATAAACTACAGTACAGCACAGTTCAAACAGTTGTACGAGGCTACAGAAAAATAGTACAAAGAGAAGTTCAGATGGTAAAACAAGAAATGAAGACTTAAAAAAAATCCTTGCTGAAACCAGAGATCAGTTCACAAAGAGCAGAACAACACATGACTAGATCAAAGCCTAAGCATTACTTGGATAAGATCTAACATAAACCAAGAACTAAGATATCTGATAGAAAAAGCCCAAACAAGTCAAAAGCCCACACACCTTTTCTCCAGCTTTAAAGAAAATTATTTTCTCTTCAATGAAGGAAGTAGATTTAATTGCATTATTTTGTTCAAGGCACAGTCAATAAATAATGCCTTATAAAAGTTATTTGGATTAATCTAAGTAAGACTGAAACAATTATTTCCCTTTTCTTACAGCATAATACAATAGGATAATTACAACATTTATACTGTCCTGGAAAGAGATTCATAATCTGGTGTGCCAAACAAACAACCCAAATAAAACAACAGAAATAACAGGAGACAGATTAGCTTGTAACCATGCAAAATTCAGAGGAAAGGCAAATCCACACGCCCACATAAAACACTGAAGTGCCTCAGAAACTTCCAGCAACTTTCATTTGTTCAGTTCTATTTTTAAAAATACAGTTCTTTATATTACAGTGCATTCACAACACCAAAGCTGCTACATCATGAATCAGAGCAGGCCTGAAGCCATAATTACTATAAACGTAAGAAACATGCATACTTGCTTAGTCAAGAATGAGCAGAAGACCACAAAACATACCTGGAACATTCCAGTAAGGTGACTTTTAGTCGACCTTCTGTCAACAGAATATCCTGGATACAAAAGTCTCGATCTTCAAATTCATCATGGGAAAACATTTCAAATGGAAAAAATGGCTTGAACCTGAAAAATATAAAGGAGACTTAATTGAAATGATGTAAAGAAAACACAGTCAAATAAAAAAAAAGGTAACAGGATTGCAATGAATCTTTAACACACCTCAATATTTCCATTCCTACTTATGCCTTTGTCAAAAGGAACAAGTAGAAGCTACTAAAGCTTTCTGAATGCAGAAGACTGGAGAATATATAAATAAGGATTGGTTGACAGAAATAGATTATTTGAGTTATATTTACTAATGCAGATAATTTTGAGAAAGTGAGAAGCTGACCAAATCACCAAATATTTTTATGATTGCAAATGTGATTTAAGACAGGAGTCCTCTTGCATTCAATATCTTAGCAGGTCTTTAAGTTCATCTGCATAAAACATGACACCATTGAAAGGAAAAAATATAATATGATCCTAAAGTGTAAATTTTTACGACACTACTGTACTTAGAGGACTGGTCCATCCCAATAAACAGTACACGTCTCTTACACAGACTGATACTTCTCTCATTTTGTGAAATACATTGGGTTGCTGTTTTCAGCCAGTCATCTTGAATTAAAATAAAGATACAGGTGTTCTATATATTTGCCCTTGAGCTTTACTTCCCTCATCACAGAATGTGATTCACAGGAAAAGCAGTTCATGTTCAAGATAGTAAGTGTTTTACACACATTATTTCATCACATAATTCTCTCTCTTTGATTAGAATAGGCCACGTCATAAATACCAATTTCATTTTTAAGTGATAGTGCTTCAGTGTCAGACACAGCCAGGATCTGAGGGAAGGAAGGAGGGGATGTGCACAGCTGCAGCCCCATCACATGGCGGACACATTCAATCCTAACAGCAAGGGCCACAACCCTGCAAATAGAAAAATATCATTAAATCTGCACTAGTATTTATTCGAAGTGTGTGAAAAAGCATTTGCAGACTATTCCTTCTTTCGGTTTTTATTTATTGCTCTCTTTTCCTAGCACTGCCCTGTGCCTTGGTTTCCATCCTGTCACTGATGCAGCCTCCCAGTGATTATTTCTGTTGAGAAGACTTGCAAATAGCAGGACACGAGCACCACTGCCTGCAGGATGTATCTGCCATTGCATGAGAAAGAAGTCTTTCATAAGTGCTGTTTGCTCAACCATTAGAGGCATCTGCTTGTCACATTCGGAGATCACAATATGTTCAGGAAACGGTCACATGGAGCTGAACTGAAAGAGTTTCAGAAACTCAAATAAATAATTAAACGCCCTTTAACTGTCGGCACACTCTTCGGGAGGGAGCTCAGCACTCTGATTTGAGACACCCTTCATTTTTGTACAAGAGCACTCTGATTTGAGACACCCTTCATTTTTGTACAAGCATCAGCCTCGTACAGAGCCATGAGAAAGACATTTCTTTTGTTCTCCTCGTGAATAAATGCAACTCAACACTCCAGCTATTTTCCTGAAATCCAATTCAACTTGTAACTTTAATTTGGTTCCAAGTTTCTCCCTCATTAACTCCTTCAAAAAGAAAACTACTTTAGAATCAGTCAAGTACAAGAATTCAATTTTAAATACTTTATTCCATTATTTTTTTAAGTCTGTGTAGGAAAAATAGGAAGCTATTAAGTCACACTGGCCACAGTTCAGCCTTATGAGTACACCATAATCAGCCAACTCAAAATACACCTTGTGCATGTACAATCTAGTCGGATATTTTACTCATAACCTTCTGTTATGGTTCTTGAATTACTGAAGAAACAGCAAGCATCACAAGGGTATGGAAAACACCACAAGAGAACCCTACTATTTTCACTCTACAAGACTTGCTACCACTCCAGAGCCTGGCCACCTCCCTGTACCATCACCACACACCACCTCACACCTTTCTTGCTTCAAAGCAAGGCTACTCTTTTCCTCTTAAGGATGATTTTTACAACCTCAAAATACAGATTTAGCTCAGATATTGTTAGGCATAAAAAGAAAGAGCTAGGCAAGCACACTGGAAAATAATGTTAAGTTTTGAGTGAATAAATACTTGTAGGTTTGGGAGGGTTTCAGCACAAATAAACAGCTTCTGAATTAATGCCAGCGACTGTCCATACACCTTCTCCCAGAATCTATGGAAAAAAGTTTTCCATAGGAACCTCAAACTATTGACCACCATCAAAAGCCTCAGTGAGCTACTTAAACAAGATTTCTGGAAGGGAGAACCGGATAAAGAAAGACAATTTAAACAGTTACCATCACCTCTCTGAATTTCTGCAAACGCCAGGCTTACAAGTATTAGTATTGATAAAGTCTTTCCCTTACTTACACACCACAGAACAGTCTGCAGGTTATTTAACAAAAACACAAACCTGGACAAATCTATTTTTAATACTAAAAAGAAGGACAAAACAAAAAGGATGCAGACACATCTAACTATATACTCAAACAAAAAATGTCATCTCTCAAGTCATTTCAGATCCATGCACTAAGTGCAGCAAACACTGCCTTCTTTTGCTGAGGCACAGAATGTTGAAATCATCCTCAGAACAAGGCATTTTTCTTGGTATATTAGGACATAATGTTTACTATAACTTTCATTTCTATTTTCAAAACAGACTTTATTTTTTTTAATTTATACAACAATGAACTCAAGAGGAAAAAATTCTAAAATACCAATGCCATGATATACAATAATCTGCAAAACACTTAACAGAGTATGCTGGACTTCCTGCTGCTCTAGGTACATTTTCTACAAACCTGGGTTTAAAAAGCAGTTTCAACATCAGTTTTGATTTACAACAAGCACTTACATTCACATTCTTACCACTGCAACTAAATTACAACATCCTTGGCAAATCACCTAACACAACAACCTATTTCCATTGGCACCAGCAACATAAAAAGAGCTAAACATTCCACACTGAAAGCATTTTTAAGTGCTGCTCTGAAGCCTTCCAATTTTATAACATAGCAGTTATTTATTTGAGGTAATTTACTGAGTGTTTGTACACTTCCAAAAATCAAACATGGGACAAATTACGATTTCAAGTAGATTTCAATTACATGTTAGGTAAGTGAACTGTTGACCGACTATTTAAGTACAAGATAACACAAATTCATTTGGAACATTTTCCTTTTGGGAACTGGTGAATTAATACAGACCCACATGGTGACAGTCTGGGCTGTAATAGCATACACACAGGCAACCTGCAATCCACACATTTAACAGAGTCAGGCATCACAGGTTCTCCCGTCTTTTTCCAGGTGGTAAGGAAAGCCTATGAGCTACCCGACCCTTTAAAAACAGTCACCAATAATGAAGGGCACACTGAGGAGTGTGTTCTTACAGAGCCATCACCACTGCAGTTTTGTTCAGTCTGCAGGGGTGCAGCAGAACAGCAACTAACGTTTTCCTCTCTGCAGAGAAATCAGATTCCCCATCTCTGCAATGTCTAATGTTCCTGCTTGAGAACAACCATGTGGCTAGACAAAATTTGAGGCTTTTTCATAGAGCATTTACATTATGGACAATAAAACACACTTTTAATATGAAAGCAAAGCTGTATTTCATTGTATTAAAATATCAAAGGTAGGCTTTTAGCTAAGTGCCACCAATAATACAACTCAGAGAATGAAACAAGCAACCCAAACTCTATTTCCAAACTCTGCAGACTACAGTACCCTTGGTGATTCAGTATCTTCCCATCCCAAACTTTCCTGTTCAAAGGAGACACAAGTTTCCTATCATCCTATGTTCTCTGTTATAGTGAAGAACTTACTTTATCAAATGCCTTGTGTAAATAAGCTTGCTGTAACTTCAGTACTAGCTGTAAGAGTGTATTTTCCTAAACTCTAACTTTTAGTCCATCTTTGAAGGGTAAAAGTCCAGCAATAAATGCCTTGGGGAAATTCATCACACTGATCAAGAAAAAAGACTGCACAGCCTCTATTCAAAAAGTCTATAAAGAAACCTTGACAGCAAACTAAATGCCTCAGTTAATCTCAGCTAGTCTCTGATCTCATCACAGAAGCCATCCCAGAATCTGGTCAGTTCCCATATGCTGCTCTTGGGAATTCAAGGCTCTCACTTTGAAAACTCTGAAAATGAAAAAAAAAAAAACCACAGCTGCTTTTTGGCTGTATAAATCCTTGAAACACTCATCCAGTATTCTCTTTCTTAACTTGAAATCGGTAATCAAATGAAGTAGTGGGCCTCCATCAGTGGAGAGTGAGCCCATGCCAAGTGGTCTGCAACAGGTCCACTCACTGCTGAAGCCCCAGAGCAAGGCTTTAAACACTGACAGTGGTGCGGGGAAGGAAATCCACAAGCTGCTCCTGACCATTAAACAAGTTGAGAAAATGTTGCCAAAAGGTACTTCCAAGAAACAGCACCTTTCTAAACACTGATGAGCTGTTACCAGGTTCTCCAAGCTGGATTTTCATTGCATCTGTATTAGATCCCTTTCAAGTGGGGTCCAGCGCTAACATCTCTAACACCAGCAAGGCCAAAAGGCAAAATTGGTGCTCATGTCACAAATCCTTGACCTACAAAGCAGAGTTACACCAACTCAATCCAAATGTCCAAAAAGCCTCCTTTTCAATTCCAAACCTGTGAAATGATACTAAACAACTGTCAGAAGTAAGGCAGATTTTGTGGGGGAGAGATTCTACTGTCTTTAAACCATAATTGTTAAGCCTTTGTAAACTCTTCAGCTTCTCCAGAGGAACAAAACAGGCAGACTGTATCTATACTAGAATAAAAGCCAAACAAAACATCTTATGCCAAACAAAACATCTTATGCCTCTGCCCCAAAACCCTGCTTTGATATGGCATGGTGTTTTTAAAAAAATAAGACTAAATAGACTCTATCTTATATTAGATGGAGTGAGTTTTCAATTTGTTTTTAAATTATCAGTCTCCCTCCCCAAACTGATCAACTTACTTGTCCAGAAGTCTAAAATTCAAATAGCAAATGTAAGAAAATGTTAAAGAGCAACATTTTAACTTAATGATATGAACTGACACCAATCAAACTTAATGTG